TGCCATGGGTCTAGACGAGAGATTGGTATACCACCATCTATTCGCGTCCTACACTTTGTCTCTATCACCCTCCAGAAGAGACTACTATTTTCAATTCATGAATCTCTAAAGCTGACCCTCTAGTAGAACCATAATCATTTCCACCATAGATCTCAAATCTAACCCTCCTTGATACATGGGCTTTTTAATAACATCTCATGCCACCAAATGATGCTTTTTCCCATCCTCTATATCACCCCATAAGAATCTATATTAGATTGATTCCAGTCTCTTTGCTACACTAACAAGGATTGTCAATAGGGATATATGATGAACAAGATATTGGCAATTGTGCTTTTTGTAAGTATGGGTCTCCCCCTTTTAGATAGGAGGTTTCTTTTTCATCCTACCATTCTCTTCTCAAATTTTGTGTCTAGAGGGTATTAAGTCGCCACATCTTTATATTTATCTCCTAATGGTATTCCGAAGTATTTGATTGACAAATCTACGCTTCTACATCCCAAAATCCTTGCGAGTATGGTACCATTCCACCCATCATCTAGTCTCACCAATTCAGACTTGTTTAGGTTGATATTGAGTTTAGAGACCACTTGGAAACTCATCAAAATGCATCTCAAGTTAAGTAGAGCCCTCTCATTCGGTTCACAAAATAACAAAATATTATCAGTATAAAAAAGTTTGAGTTACCTCCTTATGCGCACATTCACCCACTTTGATCCCTTAAACATTTTATTGAGAGCTTCTATAACAACAATGAATTGTAGAGGGGGCAAGTAATCACCTTATCTAAGACTAATGATGACCCCTGTTCACTATAACTGCAAAAGAAGTTGTAGGAATACATGGGTTGATCCATTGCACCATCTGTCCTCGAAGCCTAATCACCTCAACATACAATCAAGAAAGCCTCAATTTACATGATCATAAGTTTTCTCCATGTCCTGCTTGCATAGAACACTCTTCCTACTCTTGTGAAGTAGATCATTTACAACTTTTTTAACAACAAGAGTTGCATCCCAAATCTGCCTTACACAAAAGTATGCTGACACTCTCCCACCATCCTACCCGTCACTTTCACTATTCTCCTAGTCAACACTTTCGCAATGAATTTACAATCAAATTCTACTAAACTGATAGAGCTGAAATCTTTGATGTTTGTCGCTCCTCCAACTTAAGGATAAGAAGCATAAATGAAGTGTTTAAATATTTAACAAAAACCTCATATTCATAAAGTCCTTAAAAAGCCCAATAATGTCTTCTTTTATCAGTTTAAAATATGTGAAGAAAACTCATGTTAAAACCAACAGGTCTAGGGGCTTTATCATTCCTACATTGCATGAGCCCCTCTTGAATCTTCTCCTCGATGAAGTCTCTCTCAAGTGATTTCTGGCTATGCTCATCTAAGGACATAAAATTCAGACCATCCAGCTTAGCCCTTTAGCTAAATTCGTCATGGTATAATCCGTTGAAGAATTCCGTAATTCCTTTCCTTAGTTTGTCATTACTCTTCATCAAACGGCCATGTATATCAATCTTCTCCACATAATTTATTTTCCTGTGATGATTTGCTATGCAATGAAAGAATTTTATGTTTCTATCTTCCTCCTTTATCCATCTAATTCTCAATTTTTGTTTCCACATGACTTCATTTGCATTATATTTGCCCACTGAAATCTTGTGGATTTCTTGCAAGCCAAAATCTTTAATAGACAAACATCCCTCCCCCTCCATCTTGTCCAGGGCCTTGAAGTTCTATAGTAAAGATTGAGTAATCGTAGCTTCTCTATCCCACTCTTTACAACACTTATTTATTTCAGCCTTAACCTTCTTCATTTCTGAGTCACTTTAAGACTAGCATTACACCCTCATCCATCTCCACCATTTACTGATTTTGTCACAAACCTATTAAATTCTTAGTTACTTATCC